AAATATTGTCCGATCCTAACAAACCATACATCAGTGGAAAGCTTATTTATCCAGCTTTCAGATGGTGTATAAACCTCAATTTCAAAAAATGTACCCTTATGACTGGTTTTGTGCTCCAGTGTCACATATGTCATTGACCATCATAGTATTGAATAAACGGAGCTGTTTCTTGTTTGTTTAGATGTGCACTCCACGCAACACTCCCGCCACGCCGCCCAACTTCCCCGACACCATCACTATGTTCTCGGCGGGGGAGACGCGCGGAGGGCCGGAGGTGTAAATTGGGGTGAGGATACACGGTTTAACGGGGCGGGAATATACTCACTGAGACTTTGGATGGCCAAGGGGGAAAGACGTGGTACTCTTTCTTTCAGTTTTCTAAAGATGAACAATCTTTTGGAGATCTCGTTTTGTTCTTTTACCTGTTGATTTCATTTCTGTCCAAACCTGGGAAGAACCACTATGAGAAAAAAAAAATAAAATTATGGAAGTTATTAAGAGGTGTCAAGAGTCCCAAAGAAGCCTCTTTTGTTTTTCACTATCCAGCAGCGAAAGAAAGCCACGGAGTCGTCGGGCAGTGGACGATCAGGACGAGTTTGTGCGTGCGAATGTTCGCTCATTCGCCGTATTCGGACGCTCCTCCTCCTCTGTAGCGCGGTGTCGGCACTCGCAATAAAACGGCTGACAAACAATAAGACTGAATCACATATGGTGGTCGTGCCGTTCTGCATCCCAGGAAGCATCAGGAGGACGTTTCTGTATAACTAGTGTCTATGAGTTCTTAACAGAGGCTGTTATGTGATGATTAATCACCTTTTATTTGTTCGAAATGCACATTTTTTTAAGTGCACATGGCCTCAGATATAACTGAGATACTGAGTTGAATTTATTCTGAATCAGCAAAAACTATTAGTCCACATGTAAATGGAAAAAAAAAACGGGAATCATTTGCAATAATCCTGGTCAAAATGTTTATTCTTGTTTAAGTTTCCAACTTTTAGCATGTACGCAGTGAAATCAGGAAAGCGTGTTGTGTTTCAACTAAAAGCGTCATGGAGGAATACAGGCTCGAGCTTGAAAAGTGTTTTTTTTTTTTTTTTTCACACTTCCAAGAACTAAAAATGCTAGCGGACTCTTGTAAAGTCGCGAGCGGTCTGATGTTTGGAGGTCCAGCAGAGTCGGTGTAGTAAAGCTCAGCTCCACCTACCTCCGGCGGCTGAATGGCTCTCTGTGTGAGCGGCTGCGACCGAGGGCTCAAATACCTCACGCTCCCTGCCGAACGCGCTGTGTGAAAGCGATCAGACTTGGCTCAGATGTCTCCATGGACGAGGACTGATCTAGTATCACTTATTGGCATTTGTGTCGTACTGATTGTAATGTAATCGAGCGGGAAGGCTGACCCGTAGATCAGGACATTGAGTGGCAGTGGTTTTCTCAGATGACGTGTTTCTTTTTCTCATGATGTCACCTTCCCTTGGTTCGTTCGTCTTAGACAATCACTTTTGCCGCCTTGCGGTTTGAATTTGTGGTTTAGTGTGGACCTCAGTCAGGCTGGACCCCATATTTAATGTGAAGCGACTGAAAACAGTCTGTTTAGGGTCGTTCTGTTGTGTCGGTTGTTTAGTTGATGAAACACAAATATGCCCAAAAAACGTTTTTTTTTTTTTTGTGACAATTACTATGTGAAGCAATAAAGCAGTATTGCATAAATTTATGTTTTTTTATTCAGTATTTTAATGAACGATGCAGATAGGAATTTGTTCAGCTTGATTCATACTGTAGATTATTCGCAAAGAAAAAAAAAACACTTTTGCATAATTGAACTCTTAATTCGGTGTCATGTTACTTTAAGAATTGATTTATGGATGATGTAGGAATTTGCTCAATTTTTCGTAAAAGCAATCTTTCGTAAATGAAATGGTTTTTTTATTCGGTAAGACAGTTTAAGCAAAAATAGATTTATTAATGATGTACATTGCTTGTTTCATAAATAAAGCAAATTGTTCTTAATCAGTCGTAGATCAGTTATTTTGTAATTTGTCGCATTGAATTTAATAGTTACAAAAAACTAATCATAATTGCAAACCGTTTACACATTCTTGGTCAAATTGTGACACACACACACACACACACATAATTTAAACACAAGCACGTTTAAGCATTTCAGCTCACAAGTACAGTTGAACTTAAACGCAAAGAAAACAATTATGAACTATTTACTTAAATTCATTCTGCTCGCGTTTACTTTCATTGGCATTATTTAACCATGACAGGATTTACATGCTTTTTGTCCTTTTTCGTCCATAACTCGTTGCATTGAAATTACGCGCAACTTAAACACAAGCAGAACAAATTTGTGTACAGAATTTGTAAATCAATTCTGTTAAATTGTACTGCTGAACTTAAACGCAAAGAAAACTAATTTGGTTTTACAAACTATTTACCCAAATTTGTTCTGCCAGCGTGCGAGTTCGTTTAATCGCGACTGGATTTACAAACTCAAGAGAAATCATTGCATTCAGATTAAGCGCATACAGAATGAATTTGCGAATGTTCATAAAACCAAGTTTGCGTAAATCTACATGACAAATTACATCAGTTCTGCTCGTTGTTTGCGAAATGAGGTCCATTGAACAACCTCACGGCTTCCTTCAGTCGTACCAACCTAAATATGGTGTCTAATTCTAACTCGGGTCCATTTTAAAGCATTAGCCATTTTGATTTAATCATAGATGGCTACGTGATAGATCAGCTTCTGTGTTTTGGCCCAGAAAATGCATGTGAAATGCGAAAAGTACTCTTGGTTTTTGGAAAACGCCACTAGAATGATATGGCAGATAATAGTTTGGGCTTCCGCCACAGCTGGTGGCTGTTGTTTGCTGTGTAGAAAGAAACCTAGCACGTTGGTCTCTAAAGGTTGAAAATGAGTGTTTTGTAGCCATCTGGGCAGTAGGTCATTCCTGCCAGGACGATTTCTGTTAAAGCAGTGCAAGAGATGCGAGTCTGAAGTCAAACGGCGGTGGCTCTGATGTCAGTGTCTGGAGTTTGTCTGAACAGTGCCTTGAGGTTTGAAGCGTCTCCATTTTATTCAGCTGTCGCTCTGTTGGATTCCCATAGCAACCGGGCCAATACTCTCAAATGTCATTCTCTCGAGCACTGAAAGGCACAGGCATTGACTGTTTGAACAGTTGCGCTGCTGTAGGTCTCAGACCATCGTGATTCAGTTCTTCGGGGACGTGTTTGTTTGGACTGCGGCTGTGATGATCAACATACGCCGCAGGAAAGACTGACCAATCCCTTCATCGAGAAAACAAATTCATTAGCGAACAACCTTTTGTATCGACTTCCCTCCTGTACTGTCTGTTCTTTTCCCTCGTTGAGATTTGTATTTATATGTCTGACAAAAAAGCTACGATCTGAAACCATTTTGGAGGTCATTTGTGTTTTTATTAAGGTCGTAATAAATGATTTAATGACTAGTGTGATTTGTGTTATTTGTCTTGAAAGTGTAACAAATAAGTGTGGATTTCTTGCATGCAACAGCAACCCATTTCCGATAATAACGATGGATTCGTAACCGTCTCGGTATGTTGTTAAAGGGATAGTTCACCCAAAAATGAAAATTCTGTCATTAATTACTCACCCTCATGTCGTTTCAAACCCGTAAGACCTCCGTTCATCTTTGGAACACAAATTAAGATATTTTTGATGGAATCTGAGAGCTGTCTGACCCTCCCATAGACAGCAAGGTAACTACCACGTTCAAGGTCCAGAAACGTAGCAAGGAGATCGGTAAAATAATCCATGTGACATCAGGGGCTCAATCGTAATTTTACGAAGCTGCGAGAATACTTTGAATGCAAAAGAAAAAAAAAATAACGACTTTATTCAACAATTCGTCTCCGATCAAAGTCCATAAAAGGTAGCAAGGAGATCGGTAAAATAATCCTTGTGACATCAGGGGTTCAACCATAATTTGCGAAGATACGAGAATACTTTTTGTATGCAAAAATACTAAAATAACGACTTTATTCAGCTGACACAGAACAGCATACGCTGTTTACGTTCAGTGGATACTCTCCAAAATGCCGCTAGGGTGACGCGGAGGAGACGGATTGTTGAATAAAGTCGTTATTTTTTTTTCTTTTGCGCTCAAAGTATTCTCGCAGCTTCGTAAAATTACGATTGAGCCCCTGATGTCACATGGCTTATTTTAGCGCCATTTTGGAGAGTATCCACTGAACGTAAATTGCGTATGCTGTTTTGTGTCAGCTGTGCCACGCGGATACGCTGTTTACGCTTTGATTTGAATGAACTACGTATCCGCGTGGCACAGCTGACACAGAATAGCATATGCTGTTTGTGTTCAGTGGATATTCTCCAAAATGGCGCTAGGGTGACGCGGAGGAGACGGATTGTTGAATAAAGTCGTTATTTTTTTTTCTTTTGCGCTCAAAGTATTCTCGCAGCTTCGTAAAATTACGATTGAGCCCCTGATGTCACATGGCTTATTTTACCGATCTCCTTGCTACGTTTCTGGACCTTGAACGTGGTAGTTACCTTGCTGTCTATGGGAGGGTCAGAGAGCTCTCAGATTCCATCAAAAATATCTTAATTTGTGTTCCGAAGATGAACGGAGGTCTTACGGGTTTGAAACAACATGAGGTTGAGTAATTAATGACAAAATTTTCATTTTTGGGTGAACTATCCCTTTAACACACTCAAGCTGCTCGCTCAACAATCGCGCTGTTACATGACTGAAACTAGAACATCATTATAAAACTTCACATGCTAGCAAGCATTGATGTAAGCATTATGTCAGCCAAAGACGACACCGTTACAAACCCTTATGACTTTCTTCTGTGGAACACAAAAGGAGATGTTTTGGCGAATGTTCACGCTGCTCTTTTCCATACACTGAAAGTGAATGTGTCTGGGGCTCTGAAAAGGGAAATTAAATTTGTAAAAGTAATCTTGCGTAAAAATGTTTTAAATCAGTGTGACAGTTTTTATAAGAATGGATTCATGAACAATGTACACATGAACAATTTGCCTTGTTTATGAAACGAGCAGAACAAATTCCTAACAATCATTCATTGATCCATTATTTTGTCATTTGTCACATTGAATTTGTGTAACTTTGTGCACATTTTAGTTGTTTACACATTCTTGGTTAATTTGTCATATGTGTAACTTCAACACAAGCAGAACAAATTTTTGTACATGGTTTGTAAATCCATTCTATGTAAAATTGTATTGATCAACACTGCGAGAGAGTTA